ACTGTTTAGCACAATACAGTGCTCCTCAACCATATGCAAATGCTGTAAGTGAAGTATCTCTATTTTTAATACTTTTCCTAGAAGACTCAATGGAAGACAGACTTATTATGACTCTAACTTTTGTTACTTTAAAAGATGTGTTGGGCTGCATTAGAAGTGAGTCCTCCTTTCCACTCTCTGTGGAACACATTCCAAGATAGCCTGAGCCCACGATAGGGCAGTTACAGTTCTCGTGTGTTCGTAAGAGAAATTCACAGCTGCCAGAATGTGTTCCATTGAGCCATTCCATCAGCTGAGTAAAACAGCTAAATACACACCTCAGTTTGCAATGGAGTCGGCTAAAATTTAGCAACTGGTCATCAATACAAGTATGTTCTATGCAGCTTTATTTTGGTGGCTGATGGTCCCATAAGGTCACTCTAACCTGAAAATTGCTTACATGGTCTTACTAGGCACCTCCACAGCCCCAGCTATTACATATAGTAAATATCTTCTGTGTTTGAATAAAGGGCATCTGTACGTTACTTATGATCCACCTTTGGATCCTGTATGAAACTGCATTGAAAAAGAAATCAGTGGACCCCAGTATTGCGCTCATCATATAAAAAATGGAAACTGGATCGTCAGTTTTAAATTACAGAAAAATCAAAGTGCTACAGTCTATAAGTTTCATGTCAGAATAACCCAGCTAATACCTCATGTAATTCTGGGCACAGAATGCTTTGTCCAGAACAACTGATTTATTTTAGTTAATTGTTGAGTGCACTATTTGCAATGAAAGGATTGCCTTATGCTGAAAAGTCTTGGGTAATGTCTTAAAGCCACAGCATGGGTCTAAGCTTTTTTTTTTTTTTGACAGACATTGAATTTACATTCATGGGAAACTAAAAGGGTAACTTTTGTTTAAGAAAAATTTTAATTACATAGCTCAGTTCTATTCCTTTCACCTCACAGAGTCCCATTGCTTCTCAGAAATTCCAGTGTGCAAACATCTAATGAGAAAAATCTACTAAACTTTCTGCTGTTACTTGTTCAATTTTAACACCAGGATTATGGACAGTCTTTTTCATAGGTTCAGCACAAAGACTGGATACAATCAATACGTGAGATTCATCTGACCAAACACAGGTGCCTGGATACAAGCTAGTCATTTCGATCTCTTTAAACGCAGAGAAACAGGTGCTTCTTTGGCACAATTACAGAAGTAAATAATTACATTTGTCAGGTGACTCACATCCTATACAAGGGCCAACTTCTTTTTATTGATTGAAAGGGAACCTTGGATGACTAGCTCAAATACAGACCTCCAAAACTAGGTGAGAAAAATTTCTCCCAATAGGTCTCAAGGCTCTGACTGATCAGTGGGATAGCTTGAGTAAGAATGACTGATAAGGTTTCCATGTTAGATTACCACCCCACTTGGCTGCGTGAAATTACAAGTTGCTTGTAATTCTAGTTTGGAAGCATTGTGATTGGCGTATGATGGACAGCTGGGGCAGTGTACTTGTTGGTCAAAAGACACTAACCTAGTCCTGCTCATTAGTAAAGGCCCTCACTTCAACTATGTTTTGCAGACTTAAGTGATACACAAGTAATGGTAACAGTACAGGTCGATGAATGCTATTCTAGATTAGTAACAATCAGATCTGGGAGGAAAACCTACATGTGGATATTGCTTGTAAATAACTTTGAACAATTTCCTTACATCCACGCTGTAATGCTGCCTCTTCTTTTTTTCTTGCTTTTTTAATTTTTTTTTTTTTATTATTTTAACTTGGCTTGCCTATCATGCACACCTTATTTTGTGAACTTTTAATGGCTACTTTTAGTCAAGAAATACTCTGCACTGTGGGCCAGCTTCTCAAAAACAACCTACTAGATCTGCTTAAATTTATGAAATTGAAACTAACTGCACACTGCAATATGCAGGAAAACTAAACCGAGTTAATTTTCACCAGAAGAAAGTATCCACTGTAACAAAGAAAGTTACTCTAATTTCATATCTACATTTGTGGCCTGCACAGAATGAAGCTTGCATTTGAAAAATAACACCTGTTGTTTGTTTTTAAATGAAAAAAATAGGGAAAAAACAACAACAAAACAACCTAAAACAAGAGTAGGCTTGGAATCAGAGCAACAGCAAATAAAATATTTCCAAAATGGGGAAAATGTATATTTGATCAAGATGACTATTATAAAAATGTCATACTGCACCACAACAGCAAAAAAAATGAAGCCATATAAACCCACAAAATCCTGGATTTACAAAGTTTTTAATAAATGTCCTCACCCAAAGAATTCCTTGTTATTTTCTTTCTGGTTACTCAAAATCTTGTTTATATAAAATATATATCTGATTAATAAATGTTTTTTATATTGTTGTATTTTTTCTACTTAAAATATCTTTTCAGTAGTGTGATATATTTGGAAGTTAATTTCCATTAAATATATCCAGCTTGTGTTCAAGTAACACACCACTCTGCATTTACACTGCCAGGAATGAATAAACGTGCAAATGAGAATTTAAAAGTGCACATATATGGTTTGGATTAGTTATAAGTTATTTTGAAACCCCATTAACGAATAACAGACTCATACCTCCTCCGTAATGTATTTAATTGTGAGAGAGGCTCTTTCCACAGATGTCATGTTGTTGGCCATGGAAGCAATGACAAGCAAAATGTATCACAAAATGATAAAGAAAAAAATCAACTTTTAAAGTACTCTGTGATTATAGTATTTTTTAAAAGGCTTCAGGTAAGTATTACTTTCTTTTCATAGGAGAACCTTTACCAAAAAATGTACACAGATCTGGAGTCATGGCCAAATTTTTCAAGTTACAGTGACAGAAAATAACTTTTTTTTTTTTTTTTTTTGCACTAAAGGCCTGTGATCCTCAGAAATGCACATCCTTGTACAGTCCAATGAGTTCAGCTGGACTATCGCACTGGAAAAAAATTACCTTTGTAGCTAGAATAGGACTGGTACTGCCCTTCTTTAAACAAACTCATCAAATTGTCACTGTAGAACATGGGTCAATCCTGATCTTTAGAAAACTTATTCCTCAGTTAAATCTGGTTTTTAATGAAAGAAAGGAAAATTTACTTAGTTCACTATTGTTATCCCACTTAATGCAGTTATTCCAACATAAAATGACAAGAGTGAATCAGGCGTAGCATGTCTTACTCTGTGAACTGGCTAGAAGCATAATCTTTTCTGAGTTGCTTTATGGTTTTTCTTCTTTGCCACTGGTATACACTAGCAGCCTTTCCCAAGGGTTAGGAAATACATTTTGATGTACAAGCTGTAAATTAAGCCATAAATATAATGATGATTACATAAAGTAGCTAATTTTGATAACACATATCTTACACTAATTACCCAAACGCACGTTTTAATTGAAGAGTTGTAATACTTGAGTGTATTGGAATACCACGTAACTCAAAAACATCCTTGAAACTATGTATAAATCAAGAAAAGCATCTGCACCTGGTTTACATGTGACATGCATGTAGATCAGCGTGTGACTTCTACAGCATGCAGACATGCGCTCGTGCCCTTGTTCCCAGCAGCGCATATCCCATGCAAAGGTTTGGAAATGGAGACCAGCACGTCTGTGTAAGTTGTCTGACTAAAACATGGAAGCTGTCTTAGAGAGGTACAAATACTATGTTAGGCCTTTGCAGCCATTTTTCTTGCATGTAAATATGGCTATTGAAGAGTTCTGAAGGTAATTGTCTTTGATGTCATTTAGATATCCATACTAAATGAAGATCTAGCCCGCAGTAACCAGAGCTCCATTTCAGCAGAGTCTGCTTTTTACTTCTCAAAGCAGTTAGAAATAGACTCAAGGCAACAAATGATTACACTGCTGTCCTACATCTCCTTTTCTGCCTATGTACAAGATAACTCAATACCGCAGCGTGTAACTTCCAGCGTTAGTTGGTGGCTGGACCACTGCCCTCGACTGGAGGATGGTATGGCCAGCCTGCTCCCATGGGAATAAGCAGATCATCCCAGTGATGGCTGGCCCTCTAAGGTCTACTACCACTGGTGGAAATAATGCTTAGCTCAAGCAGCTGAGGCCTGCATTTTTGGAACAGAAAGCTTTCTGAAGTCTGTGTGGCCACGATATAGCTGACAACCATGTTTTACACGTGGTTATGGAAACATTACAATCAGTTTTCCAGTGAATATTTGCCACATAGTAGAAGCAAATGCTAGGTATTAAAACCAAACAAAAAAACAATAAAAGGTACAGGGTGGTGAAGAATCCCAAGAATGAACAACTTTTCCAACCTAATCTAAAATTTAAAGCATAACAAGTGTTGAGTGCTAAAGTAATTACAAACCATGGACCTGAAGATTTCAAACAGATTTATCTCACTATCCTCCCAATTATTCACACAATGAAAACTCACTACATAAAAATCATCAGTCATTTCTTCAAAAAACACTGTTTTGAGGAACTGGCTTGCCAGCATTTAAACTGTTATAAAGTAATATAATAATAGGACCCATACATTTGGATTTAATTAAGACATAAAATAAATATTTATGTCAAACTTCTTGATTGCACATTTGTTATTGGAAGTTACATGGTCACAGAACATGAAAGAAGTCAAATACTTTTTGATCTACCAGCAAACTCTAAATACATCAATAAAGAAGCCACACCAGGCCAAATAGATTACTACTTTCAAGTAAGTTCGTTAAAGTTTCCCAAATACTGTTATACAAAGTTACACATCCATGCTGAGTTATTCATCAGTGTGTAGTAAGAGTCTTGCAGTGGGCCAGGATTTTATCGGCAGATAACTGGCGGAGGAGCTATGCAGTGTGATTAAAAATTCCAGTTTGGAAGCATTAACGTAGAAGTACTTTTATAATCTGAATAGGAGACTGCAGTTCTTGAAGTTGGGAAGAGCAGAAGGGAAGAATGAGTATATTTTTCCATTTTAGAAATGTTGAGGCACAAAACACAGTTGATTCTAGTACTTTCATACATGAAATCCTTTCTCCTGTATGTGCATCATGTGTAACCGCAAAGTCTGTAAACTGCTGACTATTCGTCTCTGGTGTCCAATGAGTACAACTCCAATTCTTCTAATGTCACTGCAAGATAAAAAGTTTCATCTTGGATGCAAGTATAGTAAAATATAGTAAAGCCTCTTGTGCACAAAAGACTATAAATATATGATGAATCGCTCTACTTCAGGACAGTTTACTTTCCTGCCTGGGACATATAAGAATGCTGCAAACGTTGAAGTTTGATGCACCTGTCAATTCCAGATTTGTTTAAAGAGAGCCATTTAAGAAAAATAAAAATCTTGTAATTAGAGCTCTGGTATCTGTTTTGATACTGTCAAGTAATTTTCCCACACTGAGACATAGCATAGACATCTCCTCAAACCAGGACACCCTCAAATATTTTTTTATGACATAGCTAGTAAAGGAGCCCATGGGATGAAGTATGACCATTATCAGTTTCATATTTGCAGTTCAAGATACTTGGCTCTGTATTCTCCAGATGAAGAGCCACTGGATAGCAGCAACTATTATGTACTTGGGCTTCACATCCACATGGGGGGGTGATACACAACACTTAAAGTCAGCAGGGACTATGTGAAAATATTGAGCACCTTAGAGGTTAAAAAGAGTCAGCTAAAAGAATTAACCTTTACAGAGGGGATTGGTATTAGAAATGCAGGAACAATGCATAGTCCTTATCAAGGAAGGCCTGATAAAAACAAGAAGGAAGCTAGCAGGCCTAGGGGAACAGAGATTATTTGAAGAAAGAAGGAATCTTTCAAAAAGCTGAAGTGGGATCTAAAGAAAGGAAGTAGAAAGGATGATAACCTTAGGCAAATTATGTGTAAAAGCACAGTAAGGCAGGCTAAAAAAGAACTTGATAAAAAATGAGAAAAAGACACCTAATAGTAAAACTCATAATCTTTTTTGCAAGCTCACTGGTGTACAAGAAGCCTGCCAGAGTGTCTGCAGAGTCTAATGATGATTTGGCTAGAAATGATCACTGAAAGACTGGCCAATGGCACAAGACTAAGCCAATTACTTGAGTTGATATTCATTGTGGAAGAAATCTAAGTGTCTTGCATGCCAGAACCTTTACAGAGTGCTTGTCAGAGGATTGGTCCAAAGTTGAAATGACTGCAGGAGAGGTTATAAGACAAACTAAAAAACAAACAACAACCCATCTCCAGAACAAGACTCACTATATTTAGCCAATTATCTACTTGAATCACTATGACTTTTGCAAAGGGAAGTCCTATTCTATAAAAATACTTTGTTTCAAATGGAGGAGTAAGTATACATATGGATGAAGGAGATCCATTTTATACACCCTGCTTGGATTTCCAAAAGCTTTAGAGAAGACTTCTCATTCAGCCTTTATAAGGAAAATAAGGAGCTATCGCATAAGAAGGTCTTTGCATGACTAAATCAACAGTTCGAAGAGAGAAGGTTAGGAGTAAGTTATCAGGTTTTACAATTTCATCAATGGAAACCTGCAGGGACCTACTCTGAGATGATGCCAGACGTTTGGTGGACACCTGGCTCACCATGAGCCAGCAGCAGTGTGCCAGAAGGCCAACAGCATCCTGGTTTGTATCATGAATAGTGTGGCCAGCAGAAGAAGGGAGGTGATTGTGCCCCTGTACCCAGCACTGGTGAGGCTGCACCTCAAGTACTGTCTTCCGTTCTGGGCCTCTCACTACAAGAAAGACATTGAGGTACTGGAGCGAGTTCAGAGGAGAGCTACCAAGCTGGTGAAGGGGCTGGAGAACAAGTCCTGTGAGGAGAGGCTGAGGGAACCGGGATGGTTTAGCTTGGAAAAGAGGAGGTTGAGGCAAGACCTAATTGCTCTCTACAGCTGCCTGAAACGAGGTTGTAGGGAGGCAGGCCTTGCCCTCTTCTCTCATGTAAATAACAGCCAGACTACAGGACATGGCCTGAAGCTGCACCAGGGGAGCTTCAGACTAGATATTAGGAACAATTTCTTCACTGATGAAAGAGTAGTCAGGCGCTGGAACGGGCTGCCCAGGGAGGTGGCTGAGTCACCACCCCTGGAAGTATTTAAAAACTGTGTAGACTTCAGGACATGCTCTAGTGAGCTTTTTTTTTTTTTTTAAACTTTTATTCTGGGGCTGGGGGGAGGTTGACGGTTGGACACAGTGATCTTAGAGGTCATTTCCAACTGTGACAATTCTGTGTGATTCTCTGTGTGATTTACTTTTCAACAAATCAGTAAATTGTCTGGAAAAAATAGGTGAACACTGAGGTGAAGAAGTCAGTTGCTGAGACTGAATTGTTCAGGCCAGTCACAGAGTTTTAGAAGGATCTTATAAAACTATGCCATAAAGCAGCAGATGGAATTCAGTGTAGGTAAATGTAAAGTGATACACATGGGAGAAAACCAGTCCTAACTTCAAATGTAAAATTACTGAGTCTTAATTGACCATTACCATTGTTAATAAAGAGAGTCTGAGCACCATATAAAAATTAGGAATGAACAGGAATGGAATACAGGATAAAATACATCATATAATTATGTTACTATATTCATAGTTTGCCCAAACCCTATATACTAGGTGCAATGTTTTAATTTAAAAAATAATAGAGGGGAGTCAGAGATGGCTGAAGGGCAGCAAGGTGTGGAAAAACTTTCTCATGAGGACTGACACAGGCCTAATAATTTTCACAGCAAAGTAAGAAAAGTTTTTCTAATTTCAGTGGTCTAGATCAAAACTGATTTCCCAAGAAACATTTAAGGCTGCTCTCTGCCTCACTTTTGGCAGTGTTTGGTATGGTCACAGAAGGAAACTGTCACTTCTGGGTCTTGTAGTCACATCTTTCTCCTGCATTGTTTTGGTAAAAAACTGTATTTTACTAGCTTAGGTAGGAAAGGAAATGAAAGCACCGTTCCATACATCATAATTATGTCACTGCAGCATACAAAGAGATTCAGATTGATGAGTCACTGTAGGGATAAGAGATTACATACTTACTCAATATTCATTCTTGAAACCATATCCAAAGTTGTGAAACCTGCTGCCATGAAGTTATTTTTATACTGACCCATTTTTATGGAGTCCAGCCAGTCACTGACTGAAACAAACAAAGGATATTCTGAAACTTCACCAGGTGAATCTGGCATTCTGTGAAAACAAAATGCAAAGGTTACCAAAGCAGTACAAAATATGACACTTGATTTACTCTGTTAGGTGTTATTTTTATGAAAAGGCAGAAGGCATGAGAGAGGAGCCTGTGCTATAAAGGTCAGATCTTAACTGTGAATCTCTTTAACCCCTTGTCTAAAACTTGTAAGTCATGTCAGTCTGTCAAGTTGCACTACTTAAACAGTACATTTTTTTTAAAGCACTGCAGCTCAGTAACAAGAGGAACAGACCTCTCCCACTGCTCTTACTTTTGTTCCCACAGAGTGTTTCTTTACTGATCTTGTGTGTTCAGGATGGTAAGAATTTGTAAATACAGTAGTCAAAGTAATGGAAAAACAAAACCTAATGAGATACAATTTAAAAAAAAAAGTACACATAATCAACACTGTGAGATGATTTTTTATCTACAAAAAGAAAAACCCCAAATGGCTCCTTGTTGCTATACCATTATGCAATGGGAATACTTTGATTAGTGTTCAGAACCTTGAACTAATGCTATAGGAAGCAAAAAACCCTCCACATTTTATGTCTTTGCTTCTTCTTGGCATTAGATGGAGTAATAAGCAAAAATGAGGAAGCTAATTTATACACATCTATGTTCAGTTCTTTCCCTTAATGTTATCATAAATGAAACAGAAAGATAATAAAAAGATCCAATTTTCAGGCATATATTTCCAGTCTTCTGTTGCATACCACACTGGTGAAAGCTCATGACTTCCACTGACTTTGTATGTCTTGAGTAGAGAAACCATAGGAATAGAATGCAGAAAAAGCACATTGCTGTTTATAAAAGCTTTATGATAGTCCTTATCAGAAGGATGAATTTTATTTACAATGAAAACGTAGACAGCAAAAGCCAGCTAACATTAACTGATGAAACATGACTTACATATTACATAGGTAACAACACACCCTGGAATCTTAACAGATTTTCAACCACATATTCAAACACATAAAACACACTGATTTTCATTCATATTATCAAAATGACAGAGAGAAAAAGTGAAGGAAAGGAGAATTTGGTTAAGTTCATACGTCAGTTAAAGATCTACCAAGCTCCCTTCCAACCTGAATTACTCTGTGATGACACAATTCTATAGAATAACTGCTGACCTTGTAAGTTAACAGTAAATAAAAAATAATTCAAACTGACTGCATCAAGCATTCCCACATGAACGGTAAAACTTTCCCAAGTAGTTGAGCCCAACTGCATGAAAGCACGCATAAGTTTTTATATGTTAAGTAATGTTTTAAGAAAGAATATATAAAAATGCATTACTCTGATGCTAAATAAAGTGACCCAGGTACAAGCAGCAAGTCACATACATACTTGTAGGCACACACACATAGAGGCCACTAACTCTAGTGCGCTACCTTTAAATCTCACAAGCCCCACTAGTTCGTGGTAGATGAAATGTCTGTAGCCCTAACTCTAGGTTTTCTTAGTAATGTCTCCTTTCAGCCTTTCCTAAGATAGCACCCTCAGTCTTTACCTTGTTGCTTAGCCTTTCTCCAAAATGTGAAAAAAACACTTAACCCGCTGATGATCTCAAGAAGACCCATCCAAGCCTTGAGAACCCCTTATAAATCCAGGGGCTAACCATGAAAGCGCCTTTATCTTAAGGTGAATTTCAGCTAATGAAGAGAGTGAGGGCGCCTGGACCGTCATTGATTACAGCTGATATTCAGGGACAGTTTGGATCAGTCAGCCTTCAACAACTGATAAATTCTTCCACCACAGCCTTGCTTCTCCTGTGGCTGCATTCAGTTCGCTAATACTATTAAATGAAAAACTTTGGGCAACACCATCAAGAATTTATTGTGGGATGGTAATAGCACAATTTCTTATTTGGTCACTGTTGCCATTCTTCTGCAGATAAATAAATATTTTACAAGCTAAGACACAACTACTTTCTGCAGGAAATTACTCCAAGCAGTTCAGAAATTGCTTGAGCATTGTCAGATGGAGAGACAGGCCGTTGAATAGAGAAAAAAATGGCAAAGAGAAAACAAGCCCATATGAGAAGCACACAAAAAAAAGAACAAAGAGATTTACAAAGATTAAAGATTGACTGAGCTCAGAAAAAAAGAGAAAAATGCCTAATATAATCTGCATGTCTTGAGAAAAAAAGTCCTAATTCAAGAGCTTATTAACAATAAAGCAAACCTTAAAAGGGACTTAAAGTTATTTGAACCTCCATAACTTAGTGAATTCAGAACTTTGCAGCTCTCTCCCACCCCTACTGAAAGCCCTAAAATGTCTCATGATAGCCTCTATGTGGTATACAAAGAAAAAAAAGGTACCAAAAAGTCTTACACAAGTATGTCCTCCACTAGGGTATGAAGGGCGCTTGGATTGCGAATCAGTTTGTCTAGGAAGCAGACAATATCACTAAATTTTGGACGGTGGTTCCTCTCCTTTTGCCAGCAGTGAAGCATTAGTTGGTGCAGAGAAGCTGGGCAGCCCATGGGAGCTGGAAGCCTGTAGCCTTCTTCAATAGACAGTATAACCTAAAGAAATACAATACATATGATTACTGGGCATTGGAGCTAAATGCTGAAAGGACAGTGTAAAGTTGTCAATTGGAAACCAGTGATAATAATTAATGTCACAGCCACCCTCACTTAATGCATTGCTGGGGCTTCAGTCAGGGAATCAGGACTGACAGAAGTGTGACCAGAGGAAATATGAAGTATTTTGAAGGCCTATAAAACACGGTAGGCACTTCTTTAGGCTCTCTGGCCATCCTCTTGAAACAGCCAAGAAAGGAGGAGGAAAAGAAAGGAAAGAAATAACCAGTTTCATTATCTTTTTAATCTCCATGCAGGTCAATGGAGAGTCACAGGGCCACAAACAATCCTCATTTGGCCAGTGCGTATTGGAATGCTCCAATATTTGTGTCCTGACAAAGCGTTAGTGTGTGACCACGATACAATCAAGCACTACCAATGCACATTGCAGCACCTGGAAAATTTACTTTCTGATGAAATGTTTCTACTGATGGTTAGAGTATGAATAATTCAGGCACTGTCCCACACACTGAGTTACAGTAAAGCCTCTCTCAGAAACCTGATGTGCAAGTTGTTTATGACTAAACAGAAGTTAATAAAATGATAGTGTTACTGTATATCCTAAGGTGAGTAAAACTTTCAGATTCAGCAGATGTGGAAGTTGTGTTTTGTCAGGATTTGGAAAGAAACAGAACTGATGTCACACATAAATCACACATATGAAAAACTACATTTAATGAGAGCAGGGAGGCTGGTTTTTAGTAATGCTGGTAACAAAAAAATTTTCTTAAAAGAACATGAGCAGCCCTGCATGATAGGAGGTAGCAAACGTAGGTAAGGTTCCTTAAAAGCTGGCTGGATTCATTCTCTGTAAGATTTAAAAAGCAAGAGGGAAGGTTACTAGGTTCTGCAATGAGTTGTAGTAGCAGTAGGGATGATGACAGAAATTACAGTCAGGATTTCTTATATGTGAAAGAATGGGAAGGTAATAAGTGGTTGATCAAAAATAAAACGGAAAAAGACCAACCCTACCACACATACATAACACTTCACATAAAAATCCAACAGTGCTAAATATTCTCTGAAGTACAAATGACTGTACACAATATTTATACCAACACAGTGTGCTTGTGAGAAACATTCCTACTGCATTTATATGCACTCTGCTTTAAGGAGTCATTTTATCGTTTTCATACAGATGTATGTATGTGCCACAGACATATTAATGCAGCTGGAAAGGGGTACATTAAACTGTTTACAGCAAATCAGTGTTTTATAGCACTAGGTGTAGCTTCAATATATTAAATCTTATTATCCTGGAATATATCCTTGTTCTCTTTTTTAATTCTGAATTAATGTTGTTGGCTACATTTAGGAATGCCTAATGCTTATGCTGCAAGCATAATGCAAATAAATAAGAGTAATGAAGCTACGTTAGGGCCTTAGCTCCCCTTCATGGCATGGTAGAAAATGGAACAAGACTCTTTCTTGTCTGAGTGCCTGGTTTTATAAGATGAGGTGACTTGGTCCTACAGTGTATAGCCCTCTTGTATCCTGGTGGAAACACTTGTCCATAAAAAACAGTGTTTGCATGGCAGTAGGGAACTAGATTAGCATGGGGTAAGTTTCAGACCCATTGGCAACAGCACTGGGAAGTAAAGGCCACTCCAAAGAGAGCATTTCTTGCCACAGTAATCTCTGAATGTTAGGCACCTGTGGATAGACAGGTCACATATGTACAGACAGGACTGGCCACACACATACAGAGGTGTTCTCTAGCAGTAAATGATATGTCAACATGATAATCCTTCCACCTGCCTTTCTGGCTACTTGTTTATCTCCCTGGGACTTACTTCAATGGTCCAAAATCCAGGCTGATGAAATGGCCTGCTATAGGAAAAAATACCATCAGATTGTTAAGGAAATATTTCTTCCAAAGCATTTCCTCCTCACAATGAATATGCACCACAGATTGCTGCTGTTACAGACTCAGGATGGGTAAAATTCAGCCCCATGTGCATGACATTTTATTCACAAAACTGTCAGAACTCATGTATCTCAAGCAGTCCTTCCAACTTGGCTTCATAAAACATAGGAACTTGTTATGGTGTGAGGTATAGCTTAGTTGATACTTGTAGCTGAACAGCCCAGAAATGAAGATTGCATAGTCTTTACATTTATCTGTAGCTGTTGCAGATGATCAATTTCTGAAATTTATTAATTATTTTTTTTTACGGATAAGGGAATGCTTCTCTACTTTTCTGAGACATATAGCACTCACTTGACACAACAACAGAGAGCTGATGAGGCTTTTCTGAAATAACTTATTCAGGAAAAAAACAAAAGCAACCAAAATTTTTCAGATACTATATTTTCTTTGACATACTGTATTTTACCATATCTTTGGAAAGGAAGTTACAGTGCATTTTGTTTTCTCTTTTGTTCAAAAGGAACATTTCATGAAAAGAAATGCCAGCTGGTACTAGAATAATTATAATTCTTCATTAATACCAGCACATTTTAAAAATAAACTATAAATATTGCCTCATTAGTACCCCTTGTGAAGTAAGGATTATTTTTAGTCTAAGAAGCAAGAGAAAAGATGTGATAAGTGCCCAACCCTGCAATGGGAATCAACTCTCAAAGGAAGAATTAAAGCTTTTTAGTTCCTTATTTATTTCTACTTTGCTAGTTGCACAGCATCTCTCTGAACAATTAGATATCTATATACCTAATAGAAAGAAGAAATATTAAATTGTATACCATGTAAAGATTATACATGCTAACATCTCTAAAATGCCTTTTTCCTTGCTGTTTTAAAGGCTGGAGAAGTACCACATTGATTGTGAAAGGGTCTAAATGTCTGTATCTGTAAGAGGGTTATAGCAACAGCTCTAGGAATAAGCAAAATGGCAAAACCATGTACTGTCTATTTCAACCTGAAAGAATGGGAACACTAGCTTATTTTCTATACACATAGAGCCTCGAGTCTGCTACCAAAAAGGCTGATTACTGCTCTCTAGTTTTGGTTTTGTGACACTCAATGGCTATCAAAAGGAACATGAAAATATTCTGTGCTGCCATCAAACACTGAGAAAGAGGCTGCAGGTTTCTTTTCAGTGATGAATATGTTTAAAACTTATTAGAGGGTTTTTTGGGTCAGCATTAAGGTGACTAAAATGGGCAGGGTGCATTTTTACAAGTAACGCTTTTTGGCAAGTGAGAATATAAACTATAAGGGAAAGGGAATACTTTTCACAGTTAACATAGGTAATTATTTCTATGCCTTTTAAGATGTGGGCTTTCGTGTTTATAAAGGGGACCATTATTTTTATATATTGTTGTACACAGATGGTATTAAACACTGGAGCCTGCTAAATACACTATATCATTTGTGTTTGATGTTAGACATAGCTGTAAAGGTCGAAGACAGAGTTAATCATAAATACTAATTATGATACCAAAATTACATGAAAAATATTTTATGGACTTCTACATAAAAGTCCTACATGTCTGGTTTCAAAATAATGTAAAATTGGCAAAGATTGCATCTGAAAATTAAGCTGTAATCTTTCTGATAGTTTCACTATTAGCAGTAACATAGATTTTTGCTTTCAAAAGTTAACTGTCAGATTTTTTAATGAGAGAGAGACAGAAGAAAGTCCAGGGGGACATTGTCCCAGTGTCCTTCTGACATCTCAAAAGTCTACCAGGAGGGAGAGACAGCTGCTCATATCTCTTGGTACAGAGCTGATCCCAGTTGCCTGCCAAGTGTTTCGATACCTATGGGTTGAAAACTATGTTAAGGTAAGATCTTTTTACTGTTACAATAAACTCTCCAAAGTGTAAGGACTTTTATTCTATTTGCTACAGTAGTTTTCTTGTATATTGATTATGATCCATTAAACATTCTTTACTGTTGGTTTGTTTGTATTTTTAAATATTGTAGCTCTCCAACATTCACTGATTTATACAGTGGCTTCTAACAGGTGTCCCAGTAGGCTTCATCCACAGCTGTTCTACAAAACAAATGCGTGGAATATAATAAATCTTCCTTTCCTCACATGAGCATTAGCAATCCAGGCTCTTAGCACAGTCAGTTCATCAGTACACTAGTTTCCTTGGAAATTTCAATATCTTAGCTAATGTTTATTAATTAAGCAATAAGACATGACAGACTGTGCAGCAGCCCTAATTAATGGACACCTCTGGTGGCTGCCACACATCTAAGAAGTGCATTAATCAGCACCAACATAGGTCTGGAGTGACTTACTGCAATAATAAAATGGTTATTTACTTAAACAGGAACATTTCTCAAAGTTAATAACATTTTTAAGCCTCTACATTATACAGTGTACAGTATTAAAAAAATTATGAGAGACATTTTCAAACTCAGTTGCCTAAAGTTCAGCTTCCAAATCCCTGCTTCGGACTACAAATAGAGTATGCCAGTTTGCAGAGGTGTTGGATTTCTCCAGCTTGCACTGACCTGAAGGGAACTCGCAAACAGCTGTAGCCTCTGAAAACCAGACTGCGTTTATTTAGGTATGAGGTACCAGTTTAACACTTTGAATCAGCTCAGACTCTGCTACCTGCACTGGCTTCTTGAGATTTGACTGCTGTGACTGAGGGGTTGGGCAAGAGACCCTCGGTAGACTTAACTCAGCCCTGCTGTTCATCTGACTGAAGATGTGTTCATGTTGCAAACGGGCACCCCATTAGACAGTGCTGAGCTCACCTCTCCCAGCATTGCCCCCCTTTGGGTAGGGGTGGGCATGTTACACCTGTAAGAAATGAATGTTTAACTGGCAGCCACTCGAAACATCAACTTACTTAACCATGATCTGAAAAAGTGAATGAATGTCCGAAAGTTGTTTAATTAGAAGAGCAATTTGTAAGATGGAATGTGAGAAAACAGACCAAACTCTGTGGAGTTTATACTTGGAAAACTTTTGGTGCTTTACAAAAACCCACCCAATTCTTAAATACTTTATTGCTACCTAGAGATGAGTTTCATTATGATGAAAATACAAAAGTGCTGCCAGATATTTTGTTGTAGCAAAACCTCTGACTGACTATCCTTATGCAAGACCTTACCAACAGGTGTTTGCATAATGTTTCATGAATCTGTTTAGCACATGCCCCTCTCTGTTCCTTTCCCTGCCATATGTACAGTATCACTAACTGCTGGGAAAGTCCTGTGATTTCTGCAAAATAAGTTCATGGGTATCCAGGGTGATTTATTGTATTAAAACATATGTTGCACTATCCAGCCAAGTAAGCTTTACAGTATGTCTGATAATTTGTAATTTCCCAATGATCTTTATGGTCTCTAAATGCATTTAGAAGGTCACATGTACCCACTGTTAACATTTTGGCACTGAAAGCCTGTGGGTAGAGCTCCAGGGAAAAGGAGTCCTTTGTGCTGTGCATTGGTGAACTGCAGGGAAAGCCTCCCAGGAGGCAGCATCGTTAATATAAGCAGCATCCATGGGGCCTGTATTATTATTCTGTATTAACAGATACTTGTATTTTGGATGTAAGAGTAATTGAATGTTGTTATCCTCATGCTGTAGAAGAATACTTAACATACTCTTAATGGAAGGGCTGCATTATGAATTCTTGAATAGATACATTGTAGGTTCTGATAGAGGGGAAGAGAACAGGCTGAAGGCAGCCTCAAAGAAGGGGAGAGGCAGCTGTAATGATGGTCTGTGTTGCACACTGCTGTCACCTGGCGACGTGGGCTCTATGTGGGGGCTCTACAGGTCATTCAAACCTTCTTCCCAGGAGGTGAATAGTGGGACTGAATGGACTGGAGAGGAAGTCATTCTGTTCCCATTCCCAGTTAGTGGTAACAGCAGTGGGAGAGGCAAAGAGCTGGGCTGGTAATGCAGGCGGTGTGGGGAGAAGGATTTATGATTACAGGATAAGTAAAAGAGGTGATGGCAGTTGGGTTCCACAGAGAGAGTTAACCCAACACCATATGAAATCACTCACCACTAGAAGAGATTGAAATTCCCCACGTCATAGCACAAGATTGCATGACAGTGAGACACAATGATCTAGCAAAGAAGTATCCTTTTCCCCTACCTCCTGGAGCTGCAGTCACTACCATCTGCCCATCACCTGCAGCCAGATAAGCAGAGTGGCAAGATGAGGGGCAGAGGCAGAGTTAGGGAGAGGTGACATTGCAGTTGGAAGCATTGGAACTACACAGAAGCCAGGCACCACGGTAGGACCAACTTTGTTCACAACTATCTCTGGCTTCACAGTCTTCCTTAATCTCTGAATAAACCAGCCATGAGTGGGGCGCTGCAGAGGGAAGGGAGAACCCAAATACCAATTGTATGGCAAGGAAAGGCAGGAAAATGACTATTGCCCATGATAGGCTCAGAGCATGTGCCAGTGGCAGATGACAGGGGCAATAGCAGAAAGGGCTGTGAGCTTAGTACAGTCCTTCAACCAGGCAGTGCTACTGGGGGTGGAAGGGTAAAAGCAACTGCCCCATGAGCCTTGCTTTTAGAGGCACATATGGACGTTGTACTTATTACTCAGAGTATTGACTGGATAAGAAACAATGGGCACAAACTGAAAACCATGAAATTCCACCAGAACTTAAGAAAACACTTTTCTATTGTATGTGTGACTGGCACAGGTTTCCCAGAGGGGTTGTAGAGTCTCCATTCTTTGTGATAGTCAAAAACCAGTTGGAGACACCCCTGGCCAAAATGTTTTAGCTGACCCTGCTTGAGCTGGGGCACTGGAGTAGACAATCTTGAAAAGTCCCTCAACCTCAGGTGTTGTGTAATCCTGTAACTTGCTAGGACCTTTCTCCCAGTTTCTTTTTCTGTTCAGTCCCCCCTTAAAAGAAGGCTCACAGTGAAACTAACCATTGCATCTGCTAGTTTGGGAAGGCCGAAAATTTGAGTCTATATGTGCATTTTAATTCGAGGTTCATTCTATGCCATGCAGAGTAATCAGGTTTTGCAACAGCATACTAATGATGACCAAGCTGATATTGCCATGGCAGTGTTTGGCTGTGCTTCTGAACACGAGATTAGCTGCAGCATAGCACCCTCTGCTATTGCAAGGCTGAAGTGATGTCCATACTCCTTGGCAATCAGCTCCTGAACCACTGCTTCTTACAAAGGGGCTTTTTAAGGAGAACAATGGCAATTTGTCTTAAATTGGTGATTCCAAGTTCAGAAACTAAGTGGTTCTCAGTTCAGGCAAGGAAATGGCTGGGGTACTCCTGTTGTTGGAGTCTGCCTATTCCTCCTCTTTTATTAACTGTAAACCCACTTGAATAAAATTAAATAAGTTGTGTAAGAATCAGAAGCTGTCAGAGATATAGAGTTTGTTGTAGGACATAGAGATTTAAATATATAAGAAATCTGCACACAGATTATTCCACACTGTGCCCCTGGGAAAAAGTCATCTTAATTCAGTTGTTGAAGCCTAATTTTAGACTTCCTAAGGTATCCTGACCAGCCTTCATTTTTTGCTCCAGAAGAACTCATGTCTCCTGCACATCTTGGTCAGCTGCATGTAGAGATCTTAGTTATTCTAGGGCACCTCAAATGGCAACAGATTGCCAGCTGTGGGAAACAGAATTGAGCCTACTGGACTTATCTGCTTATTTCACAGTAGATCCATGATGTGTTCATAGTTCAGATAGTAACAAAATAATATTTCCACTGAAGAAAAAGGTCTACCTCAGCTCAGTGGTTGCTTGTTCTCTTCAGGTGGGCAACCAACCACCACTGCCTGTTCAATTACCAGAACCATAGCTCAAAACCAGGCACTGTGCATATCGTCCTACACCTGGCGATGGTTAAGGATCACAGCAGGGAGCTGGGCTGCTGACAGGTCGGTGTATGGAGGGGGGATGGAGGCTGTAGGCATTTTCAGGTCAGAATGATGTACAAGAGAGGGAGTCTGATTCCAAAGGCTAAACTCACAAGAGAAATGCTGGAGAGAAGTAGGATTATAGTACTGTCTGTGTAGTACAAATATAAAGGAAAGAAGGCTTAGTTCTGCTATTCTCTTCTGGTTTGAGTGGTTTTGGTTGTTGTTTTGTTTCTTGTTTGTTTGTTTTTTCTTCCTGAAAAAGTCTGAGATGATGTTTATTAAATGAAAATTTCTCTCAGATCTTTATCCCCAAATGACTGAGCAGCCTTAACACACAACAAGACTTCAACAGCTAAATAACTTAGGAACAAGATAAAAACTGCCATCTGGGAAAAGTCTTGTCAACTTTTCAGAACCAATGCAGAGATATTCTAGGCACATATATGAGAGAGGTTAAGATGGGTTGACTGATATTCTGCATTTTGACAGAGATTGATGGCTGATGTGAAGACTGAGTATACCAGTTTGAGCTGTCATGGGGGTCCTTCAAACAAGATAATTAGTGAAAATTTAAATTTTGGTGGAGAAAAAAACATTCCCCTTTTCCCATGCTTCATTTTCTAGGACAAAAATATTACTAGAAGCAAATGTGTTGGGTTTTTAATTTTGTTTTGTTTTTTTAATTGGGAAGGCTTATTTTGCCACAACTTTTGCAAAAAAGAAGTCAGAGGACAACTTTGTTATGAGGGAGGACTATTGTCCTGCACTGTGGTTAAGGAAAAGAGAATACATTTAATTCTTAGAAAGAGAATTGGCAAATAAATTTCACATGGCAGCTTCACTCTTTTAGAAGTTAACCATGTTTGCCCATTGAAGGGCACTGTCACACTGTACTGGAGAAAATGGGTCAACTTTATAATCAGAATAGTTCCAGTACTCCATCAAGATTTATAGATTGCCAGGGATTTGGGTGAAAGCCATATATACTCAGCATGAGAACCTGGCAAGCTGGCTATGACTCTTTGTATTATGTCCTTAATCCATAGGAGGAAGCTACTGAAGGTTTTAGCTATAGGGGGCCAGATCTTCAGGGTTCATAAATGAACAATTCCTTTGAAATTGTTAGAGTTATGCTGATTTAAATAAGTTGAGGTGCCAGCCTCAGAAAGTAAATGAGAAGCAAAGCAGGGCAGGGAGTGACAATAGTTTTCAAGGAATATTTCAACAAACATCCTGCAGATCAGTCCTTGGCAGTACTTACATCCTGGTTGGACATCTCCCAGTATGGTCTCTCACCATAGGACATCACCTCCCACATTACAATCCCGTAGCTCCATGCATCACTCGCTGAAGAGAACTTCCGATAAGCTATAGCTTCAGGAGCAGTCCACCTTATTGGGATTTTTCCACCCTGGAAAACACATGGACAACTTATCGACATGGCCAGAATACAGAACAGCAAATGTTTAAAAGAAAAGAAAACAAAAGATACCCTGGATGCTGAAATTCTGCCTTCTGTCACTTTGCTGCAAGTGGAAAGGAAGAAATACACCTTTTTCAGAATTTGATAAAAACGTGGTTACACTTGTTGTCTTATTCACCAAAACAGCACTATCTAAAAAAACCCACCAAAGCAGCACCAAAACCTAACCAACCAACCAACAAAAAAAAAACAAAACTCAAAACCAAATTCAACTTGAAGATCAGAAAGCATCTTAGGTAATTAATGTTTGTTCACAGTCATGTAAAGTCAGGACATGCCTGTTGAGTGAAAATATCCCAAGTCCAAAAATTCCTAATACATTGACATTTATTCTTTTTCCTTAAGAAACAGCTATTGCAAAATGGAGCACTGAAAGCACTTAATAAAATTATGTAAGCAGAAAGAAAACTATAGCCTTTCTATTATTCTTTACTTTTGACAATATCTTTAAGTTTTTGTTGTGCCTTTTAGATATCCAGGTAATTAGCAAACCAAGCGTGTTTATAATAGGCATTTCCTTAGGATATTGAATAATTTCATTCTGCAGCTTTCAACTTAAAATCCAAGTGCTTCCACACACACAAAAAATAAATCTGTAAGTCTCCAGTCAACAAACCTGTCTTACTCTTTACAACACCCCAGTAGTCAGAATTTTCCTCAGACATTAGTAATTTATACCATTGAACCTGGTCTGTTCTCCCATAGCTAGTTTATGTATGAAAACTATTATCTCTTTTCACAACAAATTGTTTCTTCTCCAGTTACATTTCTCTTTTCAGAAGTATACGTTTATTATAATTCTTCATGTAACTCTTCAAATACGTAGAGGGAGAAAGCAGTATGCTTAATGTGCCACTAGGTGGTAGAAGGAGGCAGTGAGTAGAACGGAGCTCACTTAGCAGTTGATGCTTTCAACAAGCAGCAATAGATTCTGTTTGGTGTTATAATTATATTTCTGACAGAAACAAAAGAAGAAATGAACTAGAACATCCGTTTGGCAATTGAAGAGAACCCACAGTTAAAAACAAGTATGTAAATATCTATTAATTTGCTTTGAATATGTTAAAAAATTGCCTGTGAGTTGTTGAAGCCTGACTTCAACTGACTGAGAAGATGCTTGTTCTGCTAAGAAGTATTCAAAAGCAAAGCTCTGTGCCCGTGGTGATGTCCCAGTAGGACAACTCCTTGGAATATAGTTAAAGATATCCCCTCACATGACAGAATTATGGGCCTTAGCCTTTTTTACTAGATTAGGTTTAGTCCTTTATTTTAAACATTCTATTGCCAAATGTATGTAATCCATCCTTAGATGCCTGGCCTCTCCAGATTTTTAGGGACAGTATTTTCCTGGCCTAAGTCACAGGGTCGTGGTAGACATTTAACTCCTTTGGACCCAGACATTGCACTTTTGAAAAATGTAAATAACATGCCTGCTGATCTCTACCACAAGAGACACTGCCCTCACAACCCTAAAAGTCCTTCTTCATCCTCTGCATATCAGTCCTGGCTGACATGATGTAGAAGGTGAGACACTTGTTCCAAGAAGAAGGTTCACTGAACTTCATCTTACGAAGCAATTCCTCTTGATGTCTTTTGCTTTATATCCACTCAATCATAGAATCATAGAATCTTAGGGGCTGGAAGGGACCTCGAAAGATCATCTAGTCCAACCCCCCTGCCAGAGCAGGGTCACCTAGAGTACATCACACAGGAACACATCCAGGTGGGTTTTGAATGTCTCCAGTGAGGGAGACTCCACAACCTCCCTGGGCAGTCTGTTCCAGGGCTCTGTCACTCTTACAGTAAAAATTTTTTTTCGGATATTCACCTTGAACCTCCTATGCTCCAATTTACACCCATTACCCCTTGTCCTATCACTGGTCATCACTGAGAAAAGCCTAACTCCATCTCCCTTACACTCACCCCTTACATATTTGTAAACATTAATGAGGTCACCCCTCAGTCTCCTTTTCTCCAAGCTAAAGAGACCCAGCTCCCTCAGCCTTTCCTCATAAGGGAGATGTTCCACTCCCTTAATCATCTTCGTAGCTCTGCGCTGGACTCTTTCGAGCAGTTCCCTGTCCTTTTTGAACTGAGGGGCCCAGAACTGGACACAATACTCCAGATGTGGCCTCACCAATGCAGAATAGAGGGGGAGGAGAACCTCTCTTGACCTACTAACCACACCCTTTCTAATGCACCCCAGGATGCCATTGGCCTTCTTGGCCACAAGGGCACATTGCTGGCTCATGGTCATCCTCCTGTCTACCAGGACCCCCAGGTCTCTTTCACCTACACTACTCTCCAGCAGTTCAGCCCCCAACCTGTACTGGGACATGGTGTTGTTCTTCCCCAAATGTAAAACTCTGCACTTCCCCTTGTTGAATTTCATCATGTTTCTCCCCGCCCAACTCTCCAACCTATCTAAGTCTCTCTGAATGGCAGCACAGCCTTCTGGTGTGTCAGCCACTCCTCCCAGCTTAGTGTCATCAGCAAACTTGCTGAGGGTACATTCTATACCCTCATCCAGGTCGTTGATGAAGATGTTGAACAACACCGGTCCCAGTACCGACCCCTGTGGGACTCCACTAGTCACACACCTCCAACCAGATTCTGCCCCATTGACTACAACTCTCTGACTCCTTCCTTTCAACCAGTTCCTAATCCACCTCACTTCCTGATCACCAAACCCATACCTGATCAACTTATCTACAAGGATGCTGTGGGAGACGGTGTCAAATGCTTTACTGAAATCAAGATAAACCACATCTACCGCTCTACCATCATCTATCCACCTAGTAATTTCCTCATAGAAGGCTATGAGGTTAGTCAAACATGATTTACCCTTGATAAAACCATGTTGACTGCTCTTGATGACCCCCATGTCCTTGATGTGCCTGGAGATAGTGACAAGAACAAGTTGTTCCATCACCTTTCCAGGGATGGAGGTGAGGCTGACCGGTCTATAGTTACCCGGGTCCTCCTTCTTGCCCTTCTTGTAGACTGGAGTGACATTTGCTATCCTCCAGTCCTCAGGCACTTCTGTTACCCATGACTTACTGAAGATGATGGAGAGTGGCCTAGCAATGACCTCTGCCAGCTCCCTCAGCACCCTTGGGTACATTCCATCCGGACCCATTGATTTATGGATGTCCAGATTACTCAACTGATCCCTAACCCAATCCTCATCTACCATGTCAAACTCTTCCCCTATCTTGACTTCTTCTGGGGCTATATGAATCTGGGGCTCGTAGGGAGACCCTGCAGGAGTAAAGACAAATACTTTATCAAAATACTTTCTAGAGTGCTGCACCAGCATTCAAGAGAGGACCCAAGCCAAAAATTCCAGTTTTTCTTTCCTTATCATAGATCTCAGGAGATGACAGGAAAAAAAAACATACCAGTTTATATGGCTGTGTTACGGTAAGACATTGTTTTTCAAGACAAACTGATGAATCAACAAATTTATTATGAGCACACACTTCAAATTTGGAGCATTTTATTAATAATTTATTTCTTTTTGAATTTTAATGAAACATGTTCATAATTAAATATCTCCTTTTAGGGAAAAAACAAATCTATTCATGCAAATAAAAGTAATTTGGATAGTTACAGGTTTTAATGTCTATACCATAATACGGATAACTAATAAGAATATTATTTTATAAAGTGTATTCTTTTCATAAATCTGATTATGAATTCCCAAATTATACTCAAAAAAGAGGTGACATCTGAAGCAGCATTTGCAGCTGGATTTGTGAGTACAGGCTAAATATAAATTAGTTTTAAAGAATCTGATCAGACTCTGCAACTGCTTTCATGATACAGCTTTACTGACTGATCCCTTTTAGACTGAAACAGTACTGGCTCATTGAGTATGAAAATGAGAATGGAGAAGAGAGTCTTAACAAAATTCTAGAGAGTCCTCATTCAAGGGCATAACATATGTTCAGTGTTGTAATGTAAAAGAGAATTATTTTCTACTAGTTTTAATGACAAAGTGAAGCAAAGCCTCTAAGATTTTTTACAATGGGTTCATCTTACGTATGAAGATGTTATATTCATTAAAATGTAGATTTCAATACTTAATTATGTTTGCAGAAAATCTTTTTATGAAAAAGTGCTTTTATTTATTTGAAAGCCATTCAAAAGGCAGAGACTGCAATATAACTACCTTAAGAGACGTATATGATGGAACAGTAGTAATAGCTGCTCATGCATAATAAAAGAATACATAAGGTTCAGAGTAGCTGAAAACATATTTCCTGTTTCTGATTAGAGTAATAAACTTACTATTATTGGACATGTCTTTTCACATTTTGATCTAACTGGGAAAATAATAAATGCAACACGTACTGTTTGCACAATGCTTCACCTTCAAATTAGGATAATTTATAAATCATCTACATTTTACTACTGTAGCAATGAAATCTGTCACAGGTGCCTGTATCAGAAAGTCCTCATGCAAGCTTGTTTTGCTTTTAGGTTATTCTCTCTCTTTTGGGGGGCAGGGGGAAGGGGCAGAAGGGATGGTAGGAACAAAATGGTATTTCTGCCTCATCTCATGCATTAATAATGATATCTGTGATAAGCTAATTTTATTTTCACATAGTAAAAGAACACTAACATTGCTATTCAGATAACTAGAATTCAGCCCTTTTTTTTTTCCCCTGTATGCTGCCAGCTAAATGGTGTCTATTTCCTGATTTTTTTTCTCAATTGTAATTTAATAAGCAATTTTACTATGCAGTGTCAAGAGTCCCTTTGGAATTAGAATATTAGGCTCACATTGCTGAGCCTGTAGAACTCTTCAGAGATCAGCCCTTGAA